AAAATGAAAATTTGGACCATCACCTTAGAGTTAAAAGTGGTGTTACTTCTGCTGTCAAATATTTCATAGAAGTAAGTTTGAAAAAGAAAGAGAACACTGGAATCACTTCACCCAGTGAAAGGCACGCATCTTCACCTCTCTCTAGCAACCTAATACACAGAATGGGAACAGTGGCAGCAAGCCACCAAGGATGACTTTAATCCTCACCACTGCTTTGAGCTAGGCCTGTAAGAACCTTTTCCTGGGCCCCAGCCAACTGCCTCTCGCTGGGTCACAAGCGTTTGGCACCATCATCCGCCCATGATGCAGGGAGCCAGACAGGGTTTGCTCTTGTCTCTACCTGTGAAGTCCAGTTCCCGGGCAGCAGGCTCAGTGTTAAGTGCTGCTGTGGTGGTGTGACGGAGGCTTAGCCCAGGAAAGTCCACAGGCAACAAACTCGTCTTCTGAGTGAAAGACATGCCCTGGCAACGTGGTGGTGAAAGCATGTAAGTTTTCATTAACTGTTTCTAAAAATAAGGTTTTTGTCTTTGCCAAAAGACTAGAACAATTATTTCTGTCTTATGAAAATAAAAGAAAAGATTTAGCTAACACTATGTTCTTTTACCAACTACCACTTTATTTCACATACATATATACAAATTTTTTTCTTCAAGTGCAGAAATAAAGAAAGAATAACAAGGAAAGTATAGTCAGCATAGTCAGCAATGAGACTCAGACAGATAAAAAGAGTCTGTCAAGACTCTTCCTGCTTTCTAACTCCAATAGTAGTACTTGCACAAATATGCTCACCATTAGATATAAGTATTTCACTCAATAATGGGACGCATATAGAATGGTGAGACCACAAGACTGCATGAATTAGTAACATGATATCCATCTAAACCTGTGCAACTACACTATGATTACTCATGCAATGACCAAAATCATCTGATGGTGTACTTCTTGAAATGTATCTTCTCATTAGTGGTTCAGGACAATAAAGATACAGAGTTCTGGTTTGAATGCTGGAGACAGACCTTAGCATAAGATGACACAGAAGCAAGTGAATAACCTTCTGGCAAAATCTCAAAACAAGAAGTTATAGATTGTCTCAGGGAAACTCAAACCATTTTCACTTTTATTTGAATAGAGAAAGTTTTCTCTAGTGGTTAAAACCTTGAGAAGAAAATGACACAAAAGAAGAAAAATAATTCCTAAATATATAAGAAATGTCTAAGGTCTGGAGGTGCAGTTCAGTGGTGTAGTGCCTGCCTAGCATACAAGAGGCCCTGAGTTCCATCCCCTAGCCAAGGCAAATAATCAAGTACTCAACAATAGAAATAAATAAGTCATCTGGGTTTGGTAGCTCACAGCTGTAATCCCAGCACTTGGGAGCTTGGGGTAGAAAGATCGTTGCGAGTTCGAGACCAACCTATGCTACGAAGTGAGCTCAAGGCCAGCCTGAACTGCACAGAGAGACCCTGTCTCAAAAAGACAATAAATAAATAAATGTTTCTATTGATGAATTTATGTGGATCACCTAGAACCTAACTTTCCCAGATTGTCAAAAAATGAGACAGCGAATGGGGAGGCTGGAGATTTATCACAATGTAGATAAGGGTCATACTTTCGAATTTTATCTACATTTCTTTGGCAAAATCTGAAATTTATTTTATTTTGAGCATTCCTTGAGTCAATTTTTTACCATTCGTCAAAATAAGGCAGGCAAAAGCATGGAAGAAACTAGGAGCGAGAGAACTTTGAATAAAGGCAGTCATGGACATTTTTCCAGCTGGAGGAAAACTATTCAGGAGAGATCAATAGGAACTAACAAGGCTGAATTCTGGGAGGCCTGGAAAAGAAAATGAATGGCCAGTGCTTTTCTTGGCTGCAGTGATCTGTTTGATTATTGGCTTGCCTGCTTATATTTGTTAAAATGTTTTTATTTTAGTCCATATCTGTAGTACATAATGCTTGCATACCTTGTATGGAATTGGCGCATGTATGTAACGCATCATAATTCCTCTCTGCATCCCATCCCTTCCCCTCCCTCCATCTCTCCATCCTCTTCCCATTTAAGAATGCGCTATCTCCCAGCTTCCTACTCTCTATATTTTATTCTTTCTTTATCATTTAGGTTTCTCATAGAAGCAAAACCACTCTTACTATATCCCATGTCACAGAAGATTTGAGACGGCTTTCAAAAACACATAGTAAGGTCAGAGTTGAAAAGCCAAGGTTAAAGAAAACAGAGGTTTGAAGATCAAAGCCAAAAGAAAAGACTGATACAGAGAAACATACGTTGTGCAGTCCTAGAGCGGACAGAAGGAATGATTCTAAATTTCTTCTTGATCAAAGTAAGATGCAACAAGTCATCAGACCAACTTTCCATTGTGTGCACAGTATCATCAGTTTAGTCAGGTGATTTTAGCAAGGCATCATGCTAAACAGTGAGCCTCACTCAATAAACAAGGACAACTGATTTCTCTTTGGACCCCAAAAGACAATCATAAAGAATATGAATTCTTCTCATTTTTAAATTATTCTTAAAGTGTATCCAAATCAATATGTAGTGATATAAAGGAAGGTCTTGAACATTATTAAACTTTACATAAATGTTAAAATTCTACATCGTGCTTTCTTTGTTCATTTTGTTTCTGAGGACATAGTGGAATTCATTTAATTCTTTGACTGCTAGATAGTATCACATCATAGGAAAATACTACTGTTTACTTAGGAAACTCTTCATGCAAAATGAGTCATATAATGGCACTCAGTACCTTTGTACATCTGTCCTTGTAGAAATTTGAAAATTATTCTGAAACAAGAATTTTAAAATTCAGTTGATGAGTTGGGCCATGTGTACAGCTTATGTTCCAAAGTGGCTGTTATGATTTATATTTTCCACAAGTGTGTGATAGTGTTTCTCTAAACCTTTACTAACCCCTTTCTTTAGACACATGTGTCCCTAATTATAAGGATGTAACAAGGTTTTGAAGGCCCCCCACAGCCACAAAAACCCTATCCACTGAGCCCACCCCAGCTTCAGCTTGAACCCTGGCTTCACAGGTCCAGGTCCGCTCCAGGCACCCCTCTATAGCAAGGCTTAGAAGGGTCCTCATTCAAATTCTGACGAAGTCATTGCAAAGTTTGGCTGGCAAAGTCTGAGCCTGCACTGGAGACGGAGGCTTCCCTGTCTCTTCCCATGGTCAATTTCAGTGCTCAGCTTCCCTGCAGTACCCTGCCGGCACTTTGTGCAGTACCCTTCCAGGCACTCTGCTTGGTACTGCTCAGACATCACCTCTACTTCTTATTATGATGAAAAACCAGCTTAGCTGCTGGTTTCCAGCCCCAGCAGGAGTCCTAGTGGAATTAAGATATAGGAAGAAAATTGCAGGATTTGAGAAATCAGTGAAAATCAGGGACTTTGAAGGCTTTGAAACTGGGATACACATAATGGTTGGAGGGTGTCTGACTCAGCTTTCCCTTCCTTGGACACAGCATTGAACACTTATAACGTAATGGAGTACAGGTTTAATTTGACTCCTGGTTTTGGCCCATGGCAGTGGTCCCCAGGGAAGAAATCTCCAAGTAGAAAGGCATGAGTGAGCGAAGATGCTTAGTTCACAGTGGCAAGGAAGCCAAGCACCAGGAAGACAGCAGAGCACAAGGGGCTAGAAACCAGACAGACAGGACACCAAGGCCAGGACCAAGGCCAGGATGCCGGCACCCACCAGACATACCCAAAAGTGTCCTCCACCTATCCCAGGCATGGATCCCAAAGCCCTAGAGCTGACCCTCCACCCCAGTCCCACAGGAAATGACTACGGATGGGACAGAGAGAAACCAAAGGCAGGAAATGAGGCCATTTGGATGTCCTTGCCTCTCTTTTGAGTTACCTAGGAAGCTTCCGCGTCAGGGCAGAGCAAGTGGGCTGCTGGCAAAAGGAAGATGTACAGACGGACCAGGGCCCCTGGGACTCCATTCCCAATCAGCTGAACTGGTCAAACTCCAGCAGAAACTGACAAACCAACTATGTTGATGTGAGGTTTCAACCAGACCCTATGGGCATGGTAGATGAACTCCACAAGGAAAACACTGAGGATCTGAGCTGGCATCTATGAAGGAGGGAGGTAGGCATGTCAAGAGAGTGGGCCCCTCCTGGAAGAGGATGTGGTACACAGTCTGCACATAATCTCATGACAGTGCTGCTTCTCTCCCCATCCAGTGGGCGCCATGATGGTGCTTCCATTAGAATACAGCCTGAGACACAGATGAATTCTCAGCAGAGTGCTAAGGCGTACAGGCCACAGAGATGCTCAGATGGGCTGCTGCTGTTAGTCTTTTCATAATAAACCCTCAACCTCCTCAATCATGAGCTATATCTCCTATTCTTTCTTATTTTTAACTATTGACATTGACACACTATAGATTACAAACCAAACTCTCCTAGCTCCCACACATGTCTCCAATTACAAATTCCTCCATCCTTTCCCTTTCTTGGAAAACCTGTGCCCAACCACATCCCTGGACCAAAATCTTAGTTACTCCCAAAAACCAATTGAAATGCCACCTCTTTTTTTCCTTTCTGTTCTTTCCAATTCTTTTCATTGTCTTTTGAGACAGGCTCTCCCAATGCAGTTAATGCTATTGAGTTCAGCGTGTAGCCAAGGCTGATCATGAACTTTCAATAATCCTCCTGCCTCAGCCTCCAGAGTGCTAGGATTGCCTCCTTTGAAAGCAGGTCCTGCTCTTCTGAATCACACCCAATCCCCATGCAGCAATGTGCTATCCCTCCCCTCCACAGCACCTAACATCAATGTGGGCCTTTATCATGCTCATTATCACTCTGCACAGTGTGTGAGGAGGCTTGGGGGTCACCTGGGTGTGTGTCACACAGAGTCCTAATAATTTGAGCATTCTCCAAGGCCACATATCAGGGAAGATAACAAGAAGTGGAATGCAAATGAAAATAAAAACAGTGAGATAAAGAAAGGGAGACATTAGGATTATTTTTCAATTTTATTAATAAACTTTAACACATTGTAAAGAGAAAATCAGGCTACGCAGGAGCATTTCTATGCAGTTCACACATATGAAGTAACATAGTGATTAAAAAATGATTTAAAGCAGAAAACAGAGTGGAAACCATCACCTGAACTTACAAACCTCATAATCATGTTGACCTTCATCCTGGTCCTTGCATACCATTCAGGAGGTCACCACCTTAGAACAAGCAACAATAAACATGGTGTGTCTGGTCAGGGGAGAAGCCATCGCTGAGCCCAGGTGCCATCCTCACAGCAAGGACAGAGTGGATGAGCAGAGACGACGCCTGCACCTGAGCCACTGACACCGCAACTCTGCAGACAGCAGACTGAGATCCCCCATGGGGACATCCCCTGCACTGCAACCAGGGCACCAGCGCCTAGCAGCAGCACTGCTTCTTGCAGCAGCACTTCTGCTGGCAGCAGCCCTTCCCACAGCCACAGCCACAGCCACAGGAGCCACAGCCACAGGAGCCACAGCAGGTGCGGTGGCAGCAGACGACTACGGGTTTGCAGCAGCAACAGCCACAGCAGCCGCCACAGCAGCCGCCACAGCAGCTTCCACAGCCACCACAGCCACCACAGCCACCACAGCTACCACAGCTGCCACAGCCGCCACAGCCGCCACAGCCACCACAGCTGCCACAGCCACCACAGCTGCCACAACCACAACCTCCACAGCCACAGCAACCCATGGTGTCAGTAGACAACAAGCAGGTGAGGGAGGAGAGAGGACTCAGGAGAATAGAAGAGTCTGACCCTGCATCCTGCAGAGTCCCTTATATACCAAGTCCTGAACAGCAACCCCTTCCTTGTGACTGTTTCTTACAGTTACCTCAGAGCCTCACGAGGTCTCTCATGTCCTTCCTGGTTGACAGTGTGACCCTCTGTTATTGCTGCGTACCTTGATTCTTGCCTTAAGCTCAGGACTTAGAATAGACACACTTCTAACATGTACGAGTACCCAGGGAAAGCAAGTATTTCTATGTTTCCTGTCTCCAGAGCTCAGAGGAGAGCCTAGCAAATGGTAAGGACCAAGTGTGTTCTTAGGAAATAGACAAATGACTCAGATATTCAAGAATAAACCGCTGGAAATACATATGAGGAAGAACCCACACCAGGCAAAACCCTCACTGTCTCTGTAGGTCAGGGAAAGCACTGTTTTCTCTCTGCAGAGGTTCCTTTCTAACCCCCAAGGGAGCAAAACCTCCCTAAGGAATGAATGGAAAACCAGAATCAATAGGATCAGCATAGGCCCTGTACTGTTTTATGCCAGTATTCCATCATTTTCTCGCTGTCTGGAATTCCTTCATTCATCAGAATTACCCATTTACATTTAAAGTCATGATAAAATAACCGTGTGATGTCAGGCACTGAAAATATAAGTCAGGTGCCAGAAGGAGGTTCGATTGTTGCTTATCTACCAAAGAACTGGGAAAACAGAGGAAGGAAACACCCATCCTGGGGGTTCCAGCCTCCTGCCAGGCTCTCTTAGGATTCTTGAAGCCATCCTGAGCTCTCAGCCCAGCCATGCACTGTGGACTCATGACCCGAAATCTCCCGGGCTCTAGCTCTCGGGCTCTGTGTCCAGCCCCGCCAGGCTGAAGTGCCATGCTGAGTCTAGCAGGTAAAGTTCTTGCTTGATGACCTCAGAACACAAGGCTGCCTGGGACACTTGGGAACTAAGTCAGTCCCGGAAGATGCACATGTGCTCCCAGGATTAATCACCGTGCTGCCCCTCTTGGGCTGACAATGAAGGTCCTAAAACTTAGATCAACTGGCTTCATGGGGCCACCGGTCCCTGAGCGCTGATGCTCCTCATCTCGCAGCTGGGGTCTCTTGGATAAGCTCAGTTTTTGAACCCAAGAGGAGGAAACCTGAAACATGCTTCCACCTCTGACACGCCTCTCAGGACCAGGGGTTGTTAGGGATCTTCCTGCTCAGTGCTCTGCTGCTCAGCAACCTCAGAAGTTCAGCCTTGTGAGTTGAACACTCCAATCCCACCCACCATGGCCAGTGGGTGAGACCCAGGGTCACAGTGAACCCTGAAGCTGTGGTTTCTCTAGCCACCATTTCCCCCTTCTGGACTAAGATGCATCACATAATTATTCCAGTCATAGGCGGAATCTCCAGGCTTCCTAAGAGACCACAGTCTGGACACAGCAGTGCTATCCTGGAGAGATCCTTGACAAGGAAGTAGGCAAAAGGTCTTGTGAGATCCTTCCATGGAAACTGGGGCAAAACAAGGAAGGAGGAGCAGCATATAAGGGGAGCCAAAGGAGGCGCATCAGATCCTGCTCTCCTGAGTCTTTCCTCACCTGAGTCCTCCCCTCACCTGTGTTTTCTCTACTGACACCATGGGTTGCTGTGGCTGTGGAGGTTGTGGCGGCTGCGGTGGCTGTGGCGGCTGCGGTGGCTGTGGCGGATGCGGTGGCTGCGGTGGCTGCAACAGCTGCACCACCTGCAGATGCTACCGGGTTGGCTGCTGCTCTGGCTGCTGCCCCTGCTGCGCTGGCTGCTGTGGGGGCTGCTGCAGCACCCCCGTGGTCGTCTGCCGCCGCCGCACCTGCTGCAACTCCTGTGGTTGCGGCTCCTGTGGCTGCGGCTGTGGGAAGGGCTGCTGCCAGCAGAAGTGCTGCTGTCAGCAAAAGTGCGGCTGCAAGAGGCAGTGCTGCTGCTAGCAAGACCTACCTGGGCCCTTTACTTCTCCTGGTGAGGAATCTGCCATCCTGTCTGATATATATGTCTGCCTGTCCCAGGGCATGTGGCATCTTCCTTCTTGATTCTGCTCTGTGTTTCAGGTTTTATAAGGCTCTGTGGGCATCTTATACAATGGCATCCGAGGACAAGGGTGGAAAGTCCCTTATTATCCCTCGGTGATGGCTGTAGCACTCAGCATATGTGCTACTTTCCCTGCCCTGCGGCCTGGCCTCTGCCCCGGGCAGGCTGTGGTAGGCGTGGGGGTGGAAGTGGGAAGCTCTTTAATCTGGTCTTGGCTGATCTATCTGCCCTGTGTGTGAGGTGGATCTCTTTGGGCTGTGACCAGGATCTTGTTTATGTGCCATCTTTTTCCCTTTCGGTAGCCCAAGCCTTCCCACTTGAAAAGCTTCTGAATGACCAGAAATAGTTAAGTTCTAGGAAATAAATACCTCTAAGCACCAAAGCCACCCAAAGTTTTAGGCTAATTGGCTCAGGATCCTCAGTATTCTCCTCCCATCTCCTGTTCATGCTTTTCTCTGTGAATGTCTTCCTTTCCTCTGAGGACCATGCATCCCTGACATTTCCTTTGCTGCTTTGGGTTACTGCTTACCATCAGCAATCCTCTAAATGTCTAATAAACTTTGCTCCATTTTCTTTAAAATATTGCCTCATAAAAACCCCTTCTTTTGTGGTTATTTCCAAGGAACGATGAGTTGTTTTAAGGAAGGAAAATAACTCCCTGTTTAGCTTGATTTATTGTGAGCTTGAACTACTTCGGTGATAGAAAATCTCCACCTATGTATATTAAAATTTTAAATGTTTTATGTTTTAAATCTATACTGCTACAGATATATCCATGTTTTACAAAAACAAGTTTAAATAAACTGTGGTAATAGCCAAGTACACGCACACACACACACACACAATTTTTGGACAAAATTTACCTTAGGTATCAGAATTTCCACCTTTATTTACTACACATATTCCTTCTTAGGGAAGAAACTTAGTGAATGAATGTATAGATTTTCACTTCAATCTAAATTCAACTGAGAATAGTGATTTTTTTTTTGTATGGAGATTTCCCTAGTGCATTTAAAATCTTAGTTTTGTCAGAAAGATGGATCCCTTAACATGTTCAGCCAAGTGTACATCTACCTACAATATAACATTCTTTCAGAACACAGTACTCTTTCTCATTGAACACCTCATTTTCCCATTAGACAGAAGCAAATCAACATTTGGATCCATGAAGGTTTCAGGTAAATTCTGTGACATCTTTGCAAAATTGAATTTTTCATGAGGACACACACACACAGACACTCCCAAATACCACTACAACCACCAATACCTGTTTGCAGTAATGGAGGTATCTTCACTGATATCTTGAACAGGTTTTTTTTCTTTCTTAGCCCCCGAATTTATTGCTGGAAATGACTCACAAACTGCTGGCTGGACGTAGAGAAATAGTCAATACTATCTCTACAGTATTGAGAATGCTAACAGATACTGCTTCCAGGACAGTGAGGTGAAAATCTTAACAGAATTCCTACCTGCCCTTCAACTCACACATTTCATGTTTTGAACAAAGACGTATCAATCACTATTTTTAGAGTCTATGGAGTAAAAGAGTAGGAAGAACCAAGCCTTTTGTTAGGAGGCCCAGCTTAAATGAAACATACATACAAGCGATGATTTCACGGTTGTCAGAAACAGTGAATTGTGGAAGCCACCTATGTTTTCACCATCAGATAAGGATAAAAATTGTGGTACTTATATACAACAAGCATTACTCTGCCATAAAGGCTAAACTGGAGCTGTCATAGGAAAGTGCTTTCACTTCGAGACCATGATGCTACGGGAAATAAATCAGACACAGAGGGCTAAATATCACATGGCTTGTAATTTCAAGAGTGAAAGAAAAGGTATGTGACAGGAAACAGAGAGATAGACTACCTGGAAATGGGAAGGGAGCTCAAGGCAGGGAAAGAAAGGAGGGAACGGAAGTCCGGCCTAGATGACTGTCCTTGAAAGAAGAGCAGTTATCTCTGTTTTGTATAAATTTGGCCCTATGGGGCTGGGGATTTAGCTCAGCAGCATAAGCGCCTGCCTTGCAAGCAGGCAGTCGTGAGTTCGATCCCTGGTACCGACAAAAATGAAAAAGACAAAAAAATAAAAATAAATTTGGCCCTATCTGGAGTATTGATATACTGAGAGCTGGCTAGGACTTTTCTTATCCCTACAGTTGGCTTTAATCAGTGTAAATTGGGCTGGCTGAGGAGCTGATGTGTAATCTTTGAAGCAAGAGACAATCCCTCTTTCCCTGCCCAGTGACTCCCAAAGACCCTGGTTTATCTGGGAGGGATGAAGTGTGCTCCATGCTATCAGCTGGATCAAGTCTGCGGAGAGGAGGCAAGACTTCCAGGGCACAAAGGATTGCACAGCAGAGCTGAATCACTGACCCCAAAACACTAGGTACTACCTCACCTGTGTCATGCAAATTGCTCTGCTTTTCTTGCCATGTGGCAGAGGTCTTCTCAGGACTCCTACCTAGCCCAGCTCACAGCAGTCATGTGTTTCCTGCCACTTTCACTGTCACTCACCCCCAAGCCACTGCCCTCGTGGAGAATTTTAAAAAACCGAACTTAGGCCCTGGGTTGAGGTCTTGGTTCCAGTGAACCTTCATCCAGGCTGAGCTTAGGACCCCTTGGCTCCCTATAACTATAATTATGTCTTTATTCTCACCTTGGTTTGAACTGGAAGGGGCAGGTTGGAATAAACTCACTGGAATTTCAGAACATTTTCCATAGGATTACGAATACAAACTTCCTGCATAAAGAGGAGGTCCAGGACAAGGTTCGAGACAGGGAAATTCAAAGACTCAGTAAGTGGTATGTACTTGTATTGATTCCCCACAATGAATATACTTGTTATGCACTATAAATAAATACTAACAAAAAGGGTGTGGGACAGTGAACCAGATCTCTGGGAACTTACAAGGGGTTATTTGAGATCTAGGAAATGATCAAAATGAATGTAGGTCATCCATACCCATACTCCATCCCACATTCCTTAAAGATACTACATGCACGTAAACCAGCTCAATTTATAAAGTTCAGAAACTGAAACACAGAGGAACAGATTCAAAGATTCTGAAAAATGTGTTTAGATCAAACATCTTAAATCGCATGTTTATAAACTCAAACTAGCCCTGCCTTTGCCCTGGAGAATGGCTCACACTTTGACCGAGAAAATGAGGCATGACTTTTCTCCACCCTCTGTGCACGCTGTCACTTTATGCAGTCACCTAGGCCCAAACTTCCAATAGATTCACAAATTCCACAGATTTACATGGGCAAAATACATAAATATTCTCATCTCCAGACTGCACAGCCTGTTACCCTCTTGAGTGCCTACAGACTGTCTTTGAGTGAATACTTTAGAAATTCAGCAAAAAATTCCCTTTATGCTTCTAAAAAAACAGTATAAGCCCATAGCTCAATGTAGAGCACTAGGGGCCTAGCGTGTGTGAGGCTCTGTGTTCAGTCCCCATCTCCACGTCACTCCACCATTCAAATCACAGCAGACTGTGTGTATGATACAACTTACATAAAGAGACATTTACCTTAAAATTGTAACACACTCACATACAGTTAAGGAGAAGACATGATCCCCAAAGCACAAATGAGATGCTGCAGACCCACAAAGAGGCCTGAGCCCAGTACAGTGGTCCTCCTGGGCCTTCTTCTTGGGTAATACTCAGTGTGTCTCTTCTTACCCGGAAGCTTTGAGGTGGGGGGCTGAGGGATTCCCAGCAAGACTGGCAACAGTGACACCATCCCCAGAGGTGGCCTGATCTTCCATTAGTCAGACACCAGCTTCGGGATTCCTATGGGTGGAAAGTAATGCACTTTGGAGGGAAAAGACGAGGGGATTCTTGCTTTAAACTTCACTCAGTCAACAGGTTTCCTTTACTTCACGCCATCCTGTTCTCTATATACTTTTTTTAAAAAAAATCAGAGCAAATCAAATTGAAGATTCTCTATATACTTTTTAAATTCATATATATCCTGCCCAAAGATCTTGAATCAAGGAACTGTAACACACCTACATCCACTTGTTGGGCTCCCAAGAAAACACAGCCAGGTGAGAGAGATTCACACAAACACACTCATACCCATGTGACGAGCTCCTGAATAAGCCACGGACAGCAACAGCACCCCTCACATTCAAGCAGTGTGAGCAACCCTCACACTCAGGGAGCCCCAGCCCCAACATCTGAGGCTGCCTCTGCCTCTTTCCTGAGTCCCCCTTCTCACTTCATATAGGTCTTAATACGGAAAGAGAAAAGTGAAAAAACAGGGTTGTGTTGCATTCTGTCTTTGTATGGTCATATTTTTGTGAATTTACAATAGCCAAAGTTCATTATAAACAACTTAAAAACAGAATAAAGGAGCAAGAGAAAATCACCCGTCTCTAAAGTAACTTCTGCTACCATCGTGTCATACACACGTTCATCATTTTGCTTTATTATTTCCTAATTTTTTTATTTCAGAGAGTCTCAAGTTTCCAGGCAAACACCAAAACTATGACAGTAAGATTGTGTGCGCGACTCGCCGGCTGGTTTGCACAATCACTTCTGCTCTCATAAACCCACTCAGCTCCTCTCAACACTGGGAATATTTTTCCCAAGCATCACTTGGGTGATGACCACAACTCCTTGATGAAGGGTGTCAAACTCCACATTATTTGGTTAGAAATTGCTCCTTCAGCTGAGGGCTAAAATTGGAGTGGGGCATCTTTTGCACAAGGTTCTTGAGTGTTGGCTTGAGCGAGAGCACACACACTACCCGTCTCCGAGGCACAGCCACCAGTGTCCCTGCAGAGCAAAGAGTCACTGTGCCTCTTTGCAGCTCCACAGAGCAGCAGAGCACATGCAGCTGGACACGATCCACAGGGGAAGTGCACGCCTGGCACTTGGGGAACAAGGTAACACTCACCTGCTGTGTAGCCTAATCAAAGGGGTGTCCATGCCACATGTTTGAACTCTCCACCTGCAGGCCAGAACACGGCCATAAATTTTTATGTGAACCCTCTCCTCTCTTGCTATGATATTACAGGGTACACAATTACAGGGGGAAAGTTAATCACACTGTACCTTGGGTCCTCACTGGCGTCCTCTCCTCCCCCGGACATGCTTTCGATGTGCCTTTCCCAGGGACTCTCAAGCCACAGCCGTGCCATTCTTTCTTTCATGTGCATGGACCACAAAGACATCAGTGACCCCTGTGGACCACTTTCTTCTCAGGCCTTCCCCTGACGGATCAGCACACCTCACCTAGAGCACCCCGCCGCACAAACTCCCTCAGATCATTGCAGGTAGCTCCATGGCCTCTTGGGATCACATCTCAGTGTCCTGTAACCCCCACAATCCCAGGCCCACAATGCGATAGAGGAATAGCCTTTGTAAAGTATGCATTTCTTTCCCTCTTTTTTTTTTTATTGGTACCAGGTATTGTGGGCTTGCAAGGCAGGCGCTTACGCCACTGAACTAAATCTCTAAACCAGGAGTAGCTTTTTTTAAAACTACTGCTTACTATTGTAATTAACAAGCCAAGCTCCTGACCATTAAGTTTATCATCAAACAACCCATCCTCTTACACC